CAGGAAACCTTACTCAGCTAAACAGAACTCTGTGACTCTCAGGTGTATAGTGCTGATCATGCTCAGCAGCACGTTTGCATTTATGCATTCTCACACTGCATTATAAGATTAATTGAATGGTTTTACTTCTCCAATTCTTTGAAAGAAAGGGATTTAAGTTTTAGGAAAAAAAGTTGACTTCCAAAAATGAGTCTATTCTCATTAGAAGTGTGATAATAATGGAATAATAATTATAGCTTTGTTTTGAAGTCTCATTTCACCTAAAATTTTAAGAGTGTAATTTTGTTATATATATTTTTGAGGCAGCAGTTAATGGTGTGACTTTTGTTTTTTATAAACATATTTTATGGAGACAGAAGGTTATTTTATAAAGCATTTCCTACCTTTAGCATTATGTTGCTGAAATTGAGAGACAAAGAAAGAAGCTTTTCAAAGATTCTGCCACATTCTTAAATGCCAGGTTTTCCTATACGAAAAAAAAACATTTAGAAAGTATTCAGGATAATACAAGTAGAGAAAGTGGGTTTTGGTTTGCTACTGAAAAGAGACTTCCTGTGGCTGAACAATCTTCTGTGTTCAGGAGGGCTTCTGGTTGTAGCAAGACTGATATTGCTGGAAAGTCACAGTTGTTTGTTTTAACATTTCCTGGCATCTAAGTATAGTCTCAGGTATAAAACAGCTACACAGTAGTTTTCCAGCCCTCTCCTTGGTGTTCATGGCCAGGTGATGGCCCATAAAGATGGGCTGACCTTTACTTGCCTCCAGCATACCTGATTGTCAGCCTTGAAGACTTGCTTATACTTGTGTACAAGATCTCACTGTATATGTATGTGAGTGTTGGTTTATTTATCTATATTAGAAAATCTCTCAGCTTTGTGTGAGGTGAGAAGACTGAAAACCATGCAATGTCTTGCTAGGACTTTTTACATCTGCCAAAGCACAGTAATTTGTGACAGACCCAGACTCTGATCTGTTTCCAATTGCACCAGTAATAAGAAATGCAGCTTAATTTTATGCTGCTTACTTCTTAATGCATTTGCAGCCTTTGTATTGTCTTCACATTTTTAACAGAGGATTGGATTTTGGAAAATTCTATCTGTATCATAAAAATAATAGTGCTGATTTTCTCATACTTTTTACCTCAAAGGTGCACAGATGTACAAGAATTTGCACAAAGGGATTAAACGTGTAACATAGAGAATGATGTGTTATCCATGTTTCTCATGTGAGGGTGTTTTGGTTTAGTTACACCTCTTGGTGCATCCCCTGGAAAATTATTATGGATGCTACAAGCTGTGCAGGAAAAGAGGTTCCGCTAAGAGGCACAGGTGATTAATGTTATGTCAACCTTCATGCTTTTATGGATCCTGCTGCAGGATCATTGTGTGAATCTGGGTGAGGTGCTCAGCCTGTGAGGTGGAAGTGGCATAGGGTCTAAAATGTAATATAATGCAGTAGTCTTGCAGTTTGTTGTTCAAGGCTCTGCAGTAAATTCTACCACTTGAATGCTCATCACCTGGTTTTGTCTTTCTTCGAAACCCTGCTGTGCTCTACAGGAGTGTGTTAGGATGGAGAGCTTTGGATAGTTGAGCTTTTATCCTTCTTCTCTGTTGCATCCTTCCAACACATGCTGCAAGAGAAAAAGAAAAAATAATTGTTCATGAGGGAAATCTTACTAGAAGCTGGGCGCCCTGCAAGGGGCACATTAGCCCCATCTCCTTGCAGAAACCAAGCCTATCATGCCCTGTACCCTAGATTCTCTCAGTAGAGTGCAAGTAGACCAAGCTGCCACAAGCTCTGCATCTGTAGTTGTGATCAGTCCCATTTGTACATTCTGCTTTTTCAGGTTGAGGCTTTGAACAGCTGTTGCACTCTGAATCCAAAGCTTCCAGAAAGCCATGAGGTACCTGATGTGGTACCTAGTGGGCTCTAGAGCTGCTCTTAAATCCTAATGTCACTGACTTTAAATGACTAGAGGAATTTACTTGGAAATGGATAAATCAGCAAGATCTCCATGCAAGGTACAGCATATGAGTCCTTCTGCTTTACCTGTTCTGAGAGTTACTGCCTCCCCCAAGATTAAGGGTTGATGTTTTATACTAAAGTTAGTCTGTGATGTAACAGTGTAATACAATATTGTACTTTGTACTGATGAATAGAGTACACACTCTGTGTAGATATATAATTACAGCAAGACCTTGGCTACTCAAAGACCCACAGAAGTTGAACAGAGTAATTTGTTCTGCCATCTCTAATGTGGTTTCAAATTAGGCCCTTTCAAGGGACAAGGGCTCATGGTGTTCTTATAGGTAGGTTCCTTGTCGACCTTCAGGAGACAGACTCCCTGCATCAACTTTTCTGTGAATGCTGCAGCTGGCAGACAGGTAGATCGGTGTAAGGTTTAACATGCTTAAAGGGAGAAATAAAGTGCAGATCTGCAGGTAGGCTGCCAGGAGACTCTAGTGCCTTCAGCTAGCCGGGAGTGTTTTCTAAGATTCTGGGGGCTTTGAAATGAAGCTGGAATACTGGGAAACTCATGGAGCACGCAGTTTTGCCTGTATCAGCTGTGGTCAATTCAGACAGGTGCTACATTTTGACTTTCAGAAAAATTCACTTCCTCAAGCTCTTGCCAAGTGTGTAGCTCGCCTGGGCTCACCATGTTGCTTGCAGGCACTTGCTAGACCTGTTTTTAAGGACAGATGACAATATTCAGAGATGTGAATATAGATTTTATTTGAAATTGCTATGGCCTTTTAAATTCATGACTTTTTAAATTTTATGAATGTAACAAAATCACATTTATTTGACACAACAATAAGGATGCACAGACTGAGAAACCTGTGTGTTGTGTTTATAAAGAGACCAGAAACTAACATGATTCACTGTAACCATCCCCTTTTCAGAAGAAGTAGAGCATGAGTGAACTGGAACTGTACAGCTTTGCCCTTGAAATGGAAAAGATTAGCAAATATTTGTTTTATTATTTTTCAAAATCTTATTCAGTAGCACAGAATAAAACAGAAGTTCTTATGGGGAAATGCTGTGCCATTCTCCAGGTTTAGCAGCGGGATTGTATTATGCATTTATGACAATTGTAGCTATGGTCTCTTCAGACCCATGTTGAGACCTCCCATATCAAGGCTGTGTGACTAAAGAGTTCAGATGCATCTCCTTAACCAGCAGCAAGAGCCATTGCATTTAGAGCCCAATTCTGTGTTTCTTCCAATGTTTAGTGAAAGTCTGGGTCCTGGACCTTGTCTAATACTCAGATTTCAGTTACTGAAGACCATACCCAGGCTCTTCCAGCTGCTGAGCCTGCATTGCTCAGCCAGTTATGGAGAAAGTTGAGCTGTGTGGGTATTTGTGCTGACACCACTGGCCCTGGGCACAGAATACCATGCACCCATCAGGCCTGCCATGTGCCTCTAGTGCCTGCCCAACTGCTCAGCTTGGTCTTTCAGCGTGGGGCATCCCTGTGCCAAAGTGCATGTGGCAAATTAATTTCCAATGGGCTTCTCCACTCTCAAAATCCACCACCCCCATGTCTGAGAGGGAGATGCTTGGGGGAACATCAGCTGCCTGAGGCAGCAAGAGGCTGCCAGTGTGGACCCAAGAAGACTCCAAAGTGTGCCTTTGGAACGTATAACAAACTTTATCTTGCATGCAGTCTCACCAGACACAAGTCTGCTTTATCAGAAGAAACACACTCCTTGGGTCTTGTCTTTATACCCCAGAGGAGCTGGTGGTCTGCAATCACCACCGGTCTGCAAGCCCCCAGTCCATGGAGCACCCTGAGGCCTCTTCCAGGACTTCCAGGGGGGCCATTGTAGAATAATTTGCCCTTCCTCTCCTGCAAAAAAGAATGTCACTTAATGGATTCTTCAAGACATTTTGGCATATTTGAATGTAACACAGTCTTTAGAAATAGAAGATCTGTTTACATTTAGCTAATGCTAAAACTGGATATTTCAGTTTCACTTTGGTGGTGCAGAATTACAGGACTGAAGGTAAGACAGAATAAATGTCCAGAGATCATCCAGTTCGAAGATTTATTGTATACTGAACATTTTTCAACTTGTGAAATATTTGTTGATTATAATTATTTCTGAACTGGTCTCTCCAAGCTATAGATCTAATCTCACTTTAAGAGCATAAGGGTAAATAATTATTTTCATCTACTCTTGCAGTTCAAAAGAGGATGCTTCACAGTTGCTCTTTGATCTGATTTCAAGGTCGGCCACAATGCAGAATTATTTTTTCCTCCCTCTGCTGAGGACTCATGAAAGTTTTTCAGGTATTGTTGCTTCATTTCAACAAAATAACAACACAACCTTGAGGTCCATCATTCTTTTCTGGAAACCATTCAAAGTCCATTAAGTTATTAAATAAATCAGCACCTAGTAACAGATTGCTTAGGATATGTATGGATGCAATATGATTCAGTAAACAACTTGGCAATATGTATATTGCCAGATGTTTTTTCCCGTGCTGCAGGACAGCAGGGCCAGCTCAGCATCTGAGGCTTTTGATTGAGCACCAATTTAAATTTTTTATAGTTCCTGATGGTTTTGCATGATCTGGTAAGAGGAGGATCCTGATGAATCAATTCCTATTGTGTCATAACCTTGGCAAGTCTTAAGAAGTCATCCTGTTGTGATGGTGCAGTGCCTGTTTGGTTGCTGCTAGTTACCTACCAGCTGGTTTGAAGTGAAGGGGTTGATATGTCTCCTTGTTTACCATTAATAATCAAGTGGTTAAGATCTCCAGAAGGTAAAGAGGTAGAAAAGGGCAAAAAGGTGTCAAAGATTTGTCCCTTCCCCTTCAGTTTTTGTTTGACTGAAGAATTTCACTGTGTGCAGCAGCAGTGGCCAGCCTATCTGGGAAGAAGTGATTGCTGGGCTTTGTAAGAGGGATCTTACAGCTGGGAGCACCATGACCCGAGCTCGCCTGTACCCCAAACTAGCTCTGTGACCCACAAGGCACTCATATAGTTTTACTGTCTTTCTTCCCCCACAGCAGGAGATAAAAACAACCATTGACCTTGGATGAGGGCTGGGAGGCTGCCCTCATTAGTGTTGGGAAAGACCCATGAAATACAAGTCAAAATACCATTTGTTGTCTTTCACATTAGAATAACTCACAGTCAGAACTTCCTTCTAAAGAGGACAGCAGTTTATTTAAAGATGCGGTTCACAGTGATGTTCTTAACATGATTTTAAAAGGACTTGCTTGTTCCTGTTGTGATATTTCTCAGAATGATTTGGTGAACAAGGAAGAGGAAGCTGTGAAGGCAGCTGTATAAAAATTGCCATCAAAGGCACAAAATAATTTGAAAACCAGACAGGCTCTATTACTCTTTGTTAGCGCCTTGTATAGCAATAAACCTAGTTGCTACAACTGTGCCAAATAAAACCATGATACTTGTGTGCCTCTAACACAATATTTCTTTCCCAAATGGTGCCTGAGAGGAACTGAAACATTTTATTTCTCTATACTAGATTACTTAAATAGCCCTTTTTGAATAGCAATGGTGATAGCTTCCATTCATGTATTTATCTGGGGACTGTTTATTTGGTTTGTTATATCAAATGATTTAGAAGTAAGAGCTCAAACCCCTGAAGATACAGCACAGTATTCAACAGAAAAATATAGGAAGAAAATTAAGTACGTACCTCAGCATGGTTTTTTATACCAGATGAAATATTATTTCCATTTACAGGCACAATAACTAGTTTTATGTTTATGCAACATTATTAGTCCGCAACAAGGGACAAATACAAACATAAGACTGAGAGGGAGAGAGCAGGGAAGGGGGATGTTTCAGTGGACTGGCATCCTTCCTCGTGACACCAGGAGTGCACATCAGCTCAAGTTGTTGCTGATGGTTGGTGCTGCCTCTGATTATCTGCTGCCACTTTACCTTAGTTTAATTTCTTCATGGAATAAAACATAAAGTTAAGTTAATCAAATCTTTAGAGATACAAAGTGGACAGATTTTCTTCCAAGAGATAAAGCAGACTTGGTGGCCCTGTCACACCCATATGAATTAAACATTAGTCAGATTTTTTGATCTGAAAATCCAAGGTTTTTCTAGTCACCGTATTTTCCTTTATTTTAATTAACATTAGAGTTTTAAACAATAATGTATAATTTTGTTGAGAATACTTTGAATTTTTTGTTTTGCTAGGAATTTAGAAAATGTTTATTTTTGCTTTGTAAATTCTCATGGAGGGGGTGGGAGAAAAGAAAAATATCAATCAATTTTTTACTTACCAAGGCCATCAAGTGCTATGAGAGCAAAAGCTGGTACAGGAACAAATTTTAGAGAATTCTGTGACAGGTGAGGTCTCTCAGTGTCTTTCAGTATCAGTGGCCAGAGCTGGATGTTTTGAAAATCATCCCTGGGTTTCTGAAGAGCCTTTGCATGACAGCATTAGGCAGAAACCATCTAAGAAAATCAAGATGCACCATGTCCCTGAGATGAGTGTGTCAGCTGCATCACTTTGTTTTCAGCTCTTCACATTGTATCAGCAGTTTCACTTCCTTTAGGTGAGCACTTTTCAGCTTCTGTCTTTGTTATGCAAGTGAATCAATTAAACCTAATTTTAAATGAACATCCAAAATTATACTTCATCTTCAAAGGTAGAGCTCTGGTCTCCCATCAGTGCTTTAACCACAGGCCTGAAGCTTTGGAGCAGCTCCTCCCTTTCCTGCAGAAATCAAGGGAATAAGGTTTTCTTTAGAAAAATGTCATATCAAAATGTTTCTGGTTGTTGTCATACCAAAATGTTCCAGTCTTGTGTTGTTACCACTGTGTGTACACTGATAGGAGAGTTCATAAATAGCTTTTGTGGTATCTTAGTGTGGCCAAACATGCTGCAGTGGAAATGCTGTAATAGCAGAGGGGAAGGAAAGAGTGTTGCTTTATCTCATGTGCAACACATGCAGGCAAGCCCTTAGCTGTTTTTTCCTTTGCAATTTACATATCTCCTAAGTGTTGAGAGTCACATGATTTCAGTCTTCCATTCTAATTAAGGTGAAGGAAAGGAAGGATGGGATGAACAGCACCATCAAGTCTCTCAGCAATAGACTGTATAACATAAGGTAACATTTCCTTCTTGCTGTCAGCCAGAAAATGAAAGATATCAGGGAAGGTCTGAATAGAACATATTGTCTTCTTAAGTAAATCCTCTAAGCATTTTAAATGACTGAAGCTAAAAAAAAAATAATTCACCTGTAGCCCTTCTTCTTTTCTAAAACCTTTTTGAACACCTTACTTTTGGACTGTATAATTCCATTTTACAAGAATAGAGCTTTCAAATTATTAGTGCTAAGATGTATTTCCTGATGTCTTACTGTCTTGTCTTTTGTTTCCTTATAAAACATCTGGAATCCTATCCTGAGGCACAGAAAGAAGGTTGTTTGATTTAAATTTCATGTTCTTTAACTACTTAACTTGCACTCTTGCTTTGTCTGCCTTTTTGTAATTACTCCCAGATTCTTAAACTCTACAAATACCTCAGGAAATAGTAAAAAAAGTCCAGCCTGTACCTTGGAGAGAATCACTGTGAGAGACTGATCATGATACAGGGCAGTGTCAATTACAAGAATATTTCTATATCACTGGAGATAAAGCCATATGACTGTATACTTTTAAGCCACTTTGATCCAGTTAGTGGGTAAAAATACAGCTCTTAAAACTGGCTGTTTTAAGCTGGACTCATTAAACTTGTATACATGTATAAGCTTCAAGACATACACAGAAGATATTCTGAACAGGCAGATATGTCAACAGACTACATTCACCTTAAGGACTAAATTCCTCATTCCTTTGCCTTCTGTAGGATTGGGTCTTTATCACATCTACCTGTAGTGAGTGACAGTGTTTCATATTGAATTTACCCAGAGTGACACAGTCTAGACTTTGATAAAGTCCTTAGGATGACTTAGGCAGTCTAGATGTGTTATCCTGCTTGTTGTGGAATATTGTTTCTGTTTTTAGACAAGCATTAATTGATCTAGACAAACCAGAACCCATCAATTGATAGTGGTTTTAAGTACATTTGTACCATAGGAGCTGAAAGGGAGAAAGTCTTTTTTTTTCAGCACATCCAGATTGAATTGTCATGTCTTGAAGAACTCCCAGATGCTACCGATAAATAGCCAACACCTTCATCACCCTTCATCTCCTCTGCAACAACAAACAGAACAACACTTTTCTGGGTGCCAGGTAATGTTGCTGTGAAGGAAGGTGAAGGAATAAAGGGTGCTCGCTGTCATCTCTCTAAACTACAACCAGGTGGCAGCGTGCCTCAGGACATTGCTGATGCAGCTGGATCTAGCTGACCATTAGCTGTCTGTTCTCTAGGACATCGTGGGGCTATGTATATTCTGCATCTGCTGCTGAAAAAGCAGCCGGAGGCACTCAGGAGTCATGAGAAGAGACGCTATTGATTATCTGTCTGTGATAGAATAATGGCCATACCAGGACACACTGTAAGTCTCTTGTGGCAGTCAGTATTGGATACTAGAACACAGATTCAAGCATCAAGCTGCACAGGTGTGTATACACAGGTACAGTTACAGGTACATATGGAAGGGGTCACTACTGCTATAGCCCTCATCAGTGTTGTTAGGAGAGTGTCCTGAGCCAAAACCGACATCCAAGCTGCCATTCTTACTTGCTATTGATTCTCACAGCCTCCATGAGATTTCCACATTTTAGCCCCTTTATACTTTCATCCTCCAGGCCATCACTGCCAACAAGTACCACAGTTAAACTGGGGCACACAATACGGTAGCTTTTAACCACAGACAGCCGGGACAGTTGTTAGAGGCAATAGATCAAAGTGGATGGTGGAGAAAAGTTTGTTTAATTGGGTGATAAAGCTGTTGTTCTGTCTGCACTAAATTAGACCAGCAGGAATCCTAATGTTGCATGTTCCCTGACTGCTGGGAAGAACTGATTTAAATGCCACTGAGGGGCCCTCACACAGATCTCAGCGTCTGAGATCTCAGAGCATCTCAGTGGCACATCACATTTGTTCCTCTCAGAAGTTCCTTCACTTTTCCCACTTGCTTACCTCTGCTCATAGAGGAGCTTTTTCTGTATCCTCAGCTAAAGTTCTGTATGTGGTTCTACACATATTGGTGCAAGGATGCATCAAGCATGGGGACTTCTGCCTCTGTGTGGTAAGATCTCAGGCAGAAATGGGCATGTTTGTACCTGTATGCGTGCAGACTGAGTAGGGCCCAGTACTCCATAGGAAAGGAGGAGACCATCATGTTGCCTTCCTAACAGCCTGTGTTTTCTCACATACATGTTGCTGTGGCACCCCAGCTGCCTCAAGGTGCAGCCACCAATGTAGCACAACAATCTTCAAGAACTGCTTTGGCTTCATAGTGGGCACAGATTACTGGGGTGAGATATCCCATAGACCTCAGAGCAAAAAGGACTCTGATCATAGCCCCCAAAAGGGCTTCATGCTTCTTTCACAACTTCCTTGCACCTCAGCGTTGTCTTCCCTGGCTCCTGAAAATTAATTTCTTTTCAGCGGGATGCCTGAGGCATCTGCTCTGCTGCCCTTTGCAAGGAGTTGCACTTAGCAATGCTGACTGCAAGCAAGAAGCTTAGAGCTCTCTCTTTATTACAGTGTCTTGTACATACTATGACAGATGATGGTCTAAAAAGCTACCTGAGGCTGACACCAAGGTGTGTAAGCACTAGAGCAGTGAGAAGTACAGAAATGTCTGCTCCCTTCCTGAAGAGATATCTTCACCTATGTTTTTCAGAGACTAAAGTGGCCGGCTGTTTTCTGTACTCAGATTCACTTTGCTTGGCTACACATAGGCCCAGAGACGTAGTTCTTGAGAAGACTGGGGAAAAATAATAATTTCAAAACAAGATAACAAGGTGAAAATAGGCCTGATTTTAACAATTGTAAATTTGAGTGCAAATATGCCTTTCATCTTTTAGAGATGACACCATTCTCATATTCTTTTGGAATAAATTTTGGTTGGGTTTTTTGTTGTTGTTTGCTGGTAAAGGAGCTTTTTGCTTTTTATTGCATCTATGGGATCCTGATTTACAGGTGTGTTGGAAAGTAGCAGTAACTCTTGGTTAAGGCAAGATTCCTATCTGTGATGTTTCTGCCTTCAGACTTCTTCTCAGGGTCAAAACATCTTTTTTCCATTGGAACTACATTCTTTTGTTAGTTTCCATCCTAGTTCTGTCCTTGAAATGAATTTGGCTATTCTTTTGCAGTCAATACAAAAAGTTATTTCTTCTGGGTTTTTTTGAGGGTTTTTTTGTGCTTTTTTTTGTTTTGTTTTGTTTTGGTTTTTTTGTGTGGTTTTTTGGGTTTT